ATCTTCATCACACTTCCAATTCACATTCTGATAGTGATCAAGTTCTTTCCATATCGATGTCAAATCAGAATAGTACATCAAGAGACTCCTCTCCCCTTGCTTGCAAGTAGATGATTCTGCTTGCAATTGATATATCTTGGCATAGTGTCTCTACTCTGAATAGGTGGACTTCGCTTGTCCCATATCTCACAAGCAGTTTCAGCCCACATAAAAGTCTTCCTTACCTGTGGCAGCATAGAAACCAAGAGCCAAGACATCACCATATTATTCTCTTGGTTCCACCTATCATATTCAACACTTCCGTACTTCGGTTCCTTCACTCTCCCATTGATGTATCCTATTTTCCCCCTAGTAGTGATATAGAGTTTTATTCCCCTAGACCACTCAAGGTAGTTCAGACCATCAAAGGGAATAACAGCCATGGGGAARCTCATATCCATTCCCCCACTCACTCCATTGTGGCTCCCTGAAATCTCTGAAGTAGTAGAATTCTCAGACGACATGGTCAAAACAGACAATCAGTCCCAAACATCGGATTTAGGACCCCTCCTTACTCCACAAAAAAAATGCTCCGCTCAGTCCACACCCACACACTTGGGTTTGAAAACAGTCCGAGCACAAACAGTACCAATTTCAGGACAAAAAAAAGGCAATATTCGGCAGATTTCAGACCTGTATGGTTTAACAGTCCCAACCTACCAGCCTTCCAGAATGTCCAAGAACATTAATCAGCAGGAGAGATCCTTAACACTTATAATCAAGCCAAATAATTGAGATAACAGGTCATCCTTGACCTACAGTCGCCTTAACACAGGAACAGGATCACACGATCCCAAAAAACAGAGGTATAAAGATCTGATAGCATTCAGCAGCCCAAATTCATTTGGTTTTTTCACTTGGTACACGACCAAGGAGGGTAAGGAAGAGAAAAAGGAAGGACTGTACCAGTTGTAGATCTGTTTTCCTCAGTCCAGATTCAGATCTCTGTTCCGCCCAGATTCAACAAGTTGGAAGAGTGAAGTCTGTTTGATCTGTTCGATCAGTGAAGTTTGTTTGATCTGTTCTCTCAGTCAGTATTCCTGCTCTGATACCATCTTGACAGTGTGGCCGGCCAGAAATAAGAGGAAGAGAAGAGAAGAGAAGAAGAAGAGAGAAGGGAGAAGAGAAGAGAAGAAGAAGAGAGAAGGGAGAAGAGAAGAGAAGGGATTGGCAATGTAACAGTGCTGGCAGCGCCAGCTTTTATTATAATATATATAGGGCGGCAGAAATAACAAGGGAAAAGACCCTTGTGCCCCTGCTATAAGTGAGTACAATAACAGACATAACAGAAGTAAAAAAATAGAAATAAAAAACGCTTTAACTAGCCAAACAGATCCTAACACCAACAACTAAATTATTTCAACAGTATTGTTGGGTCAGAACTGGTTTCCAGGTGAGCATCAGGCTTGGTGTGGCTGGTCTGGTACTGTGGTGTGGGTGTTTCTAGTGGTGCAGCTAGCTTGGAAAATGGAAGCAATACAGATGTGAACTTGTTCAGTGTTCTGTCACAATGTAACAAGTTAAAGTCTCTTTCTCATTATGATCCAGTGAATGCGAGTGAGTAGTATATTCCATCAAGGAATTTTGTGGGTGGAGGAATTCCTGGAAATAGTATGTCATGGGTGAATATGCAACATCAGAGTTCAGGCCTAAATGATGCACTTGGAAAGCCATTTTTGAGGTCATGGAACCAATAGGGATAATCTTGTTAGACATTTAAATGGGGTTGGCAATGTATGCTGACGAGCTTGTTGAATATGGAGATAGCTCAGATGCAGGATGCCAAGGCATGTCATGTTGGAACTTACAAAATTTTACTAGCAAAGAGAGACAAGGCAGAGGTAGAGGTAGAGGTAGAGTGAGATATGGAAGCTGAAAAAGCAAAGATTGGAAAGCAAGGTTTTGCACATATCCATACAAAAGCCAGCTCAATCCCATGTACATATTTAGATGGCAAAAGTGGAGGAAGTTATGGTCTTACAGAAAGGGAAAAAATAAAGGAATCTCTTCTTTTATTGGTAAGCAATATATAGTTTCTTTTCCATTTTGGTTGGATATTTCATTTTTTTCAGGATAGGGGGTTGAATACATAGGATATCTTAGGGAGACTGGGTGATTGAACATATGAAACTTCATCGCAGCACCACCTTCATATCTCCCCTTGTTTTCTCCTTTATTCTTTTTTCCTTGAGTTGCATTTCAAATTTACACTTTGCAATTGCAAGCTAGGAATTGGGTATAGCCAAATTGTTGGTTGGTTTAAAGGTATAATGAACAACAGTGCAGATATTGATCCTTTTTGAGTCTGGAGGCTCATTTACATGCAGGGATGGTATCAAGGCTCATCTGTATTTTTCTGTATTTTTTTTTTCAAATTTCTGTATTTTTTTGTATTTGCTGCATTTTATTTTTAATATTTATATACTTTTAGTTTTCCATATGATGTTCTTTTTTCTGCATTTCCTTGTATTTGTTTAATTTTTATGGTACTTTTCATTATTTATACATTTTTTTTGTTTTTATTTTATTTATGACATCATGGGTCGAACCGTTTGATCTGGACGGTTGAACCAATGAACTGGAAAATGGTGGCTAGAATGGTTCCGTTTCTGGTTCAGTTTTCAAAACCTTGATTCGAGCAAAGAGTCTTTGCTCCTAGCTTGTAACATTGGTATTTGATAGAGTTGGAGAAGTTAGTGAACATATGGAGGAGGCTAAGAGAGAGATGTAAAAAGTTACTTTTAATGTTTTGATTGTTTAGGTAATAGGTATGACACTCTATTGAGTAGAAATAGGTATGACAACTTAGGTATGACAATCTATATAGTAGACAATCATCAGTGCTATGCCTTTTTTAAAAAAGGAGTCATCAATGCTATAGATACAAAGGGCATGAATCAAGGGAGGAAGGGCTTGAAACTAAATAGACCTATATATAATCAAATAACATATATAGTTATATGCTAACAATATTTAAGTGGTTGGTTTGATTAACCGTTAGTTTGTTCCTAGGTTTACCAAAAAAACTGGTCCTTTGGTTTTGCAAAATATCAAACCAAAACCGAACCGTTGATTTGGTTAATTGGAAATTTTCATTCAGTTTTGTCGGTTTGGTTCGGTTTTTCAGTTTTTGGTGATCACCCCTAGCTGTTGTACTTGTATGTTACATTTGTGGGAAATGTTCCTGATGTGAGGCTGGAAGCAATGGTGTCAATGTGTTAACACATGCTTTTTGCTTCAATTTCTATCACTAAACCCCCTCTTCTCAAGTTGGATCTAGTCCCAACTCCCAACATAGAGTCCCAACAACCGGTCCCAACAACCATTACAATCGTGCATTGGGAACATCTTCCACATTTGTCTCCTCTCTTTCCGCCTCCATCGCAATTTATTCTCCCATTGGTTATCGACAATTTTCCCTGTTCCCGTCAAGTACCTGGCTTCCTCCACCCCATCGGGTTAGGGATGGAGATTGCCTTGGTGGGGACAGGGGCAGGGTTGGAGATTGATGGTGATACCCGAATGGGGATGGGGACGAGGGATGGGGAGTGGATTCCCCACATGCCTCAACCCAATTATATATATTAAATATATACATATAATATTATTTATATCAAAATATATTTAAAATATTTTTTTATTTGAAATTATTTCTCTTATTTTAAGTAAATTTATTTTTAAAATAATTTTAATTTAAAAATTTTGGGGATTTGGGTCCCAATGAAGAACCTGTCTCTGTCGGGATCAGGGATGAAGTTGGGATATTCTCCCAACAAACACGTTCCAACACCCTACCAACTTGTTCTGACACCATACATCTCATTATGGAACTGGGGCCAAACATAAAAGTGGGACCTGCCATGCGTGAGATGTGCGGTGTCAGATGATGTTGGTAGGGTATTGGAACATATTCCGTTGGCAGGTGGTCTGGACTCAAGGGGACGGAGATCTGTTTCATAGTGGGGGTTGGGGATGGGGAATATGTTCCTGCCCCATTGCCTTTCCTTCACAAACCCAAACCACCACTTGCTCCTCTCTCTCTCTCTCTCTCTCTTTCTCCTCTACCTTCACCACCACCGCTGGTCGGCTGGTCCACAGAGTCTTTTTGTTGGTGTTGAAGCCAGGTGCCACTACCACTACTATTTCTTCTACCAGCCACCGTCTGCGGTTGCCACCATAGATCGGTCCATCATGAGTGTTACACTAACCATACCCAAGCAGGGCTCATTTAATCTGTTTCATATTTCTGTTTTCTTCGTCTTACCCTAGACTCTCTGAATATGGTTATTTTTTTTTATCAATAACTCTGAAAAATTTCATTAATTAAAATGCTTTAGGATACAACAAGAAGTTGCAAAGATATCAGCATAGAAGCTGACCCAGGACAGAATTACAAATGTGCCCAAAACATATCTGTTCTTTGAACCCCTTGCTTTGCTAAGCTATCAGCCAAACTGTTGGCCGATCTCCTAACACCTGAATTGATGTATTCAATATATAGTTGTGCATGTATGTGTATTATAGACTCTCTGAATATTGTAATTGATAATTTTGTATGCATGAGATTAAATAAGATGTTGTATATTCCCATTCCCTTGTGATTAATTTCCATTGTTGCTTCGGACTTTAAACTTGCAGGAGAACTGTTAGCTACTTGAGACAAAGCTGATGCTGCTTCAATGGCATCTTCTTCAATTAAACCAGGCATATTAGTTTCTTTACAGGACCTATACCCTTCCTCTCCATTCTTTAAGCAAGGGGCTTCCCTTCGAGTCACTGGGAAGTAAGTAACCATTGCCTAATGCCATATTTTATCATTTTGAAGATACCCATCGTTCAACTTCTGTATGCGTTTGTTTCTTTTTCTCCCCCTCTTATTTTTTCTTCTACAAGTATAGTCTTGATACAAAACTGACAAAGCAAGAGTAAGTAGTAAACCAAAAGAACAGGTTCTTAAAGACAAGGCATAAATTCTAATAGATACAGTTTCAGGGCTGAAGGGCTATAGGTAATTGTTGACATAATGCCTGTCAATCATGAGTTTGCTGTTCTGGGGTCTTATCCTATTTTTTTTGATAAGCAAGATTTCGTTAATCAAAAGAATGAGTCAGTAACAAGCTTCCCATGGAAAGGCACGAGCTGCGTCCCCTCCTAGCTACAAGAATAATTCAGAACATAGAGAACAGATTCAAACTACAGTTGGGCCCAGTACAATTGTTCCCTGTTTGTCCCTTGCTTTGCAAGACCATCAGCCATAGCATTTTCTGATCTCCCCACCATTGTATTCTCACAACCAAACTCCTTGTCAGCCAATTGAACTTTTTAATTTCATTCTTAAAGCACCATACTACAGAATCTGGGTTTTGTAGCCAGCCCACTACCACCTTGGAGTGCCCTTCTATTATCAGCTGTTCCACACCTGTATTGCTAGTTGTACACCCTGGATAGCAGCTAGGAGTTCTGCCCTAGTAGAGTTCCCAACTCCTAGGGGACCCAAATAAATGAGAACCGCATTACCACTCTCATTCGTCAGTACCCCTCCCACCCCTGAGGGGCCTGGATTACCAAGACTACTGCTGTCAAATTCAGCTTAAAAAATCTTTTAGAAGGGAGTTCCCAACCCATACTTAACCTAGCCTTTAGAGATGAACAGTTTGCCACTGCTAACCAATTCCTCCAAATATCCTTAAACGAGAATTGGTGGAATAAGTCCAGTGACTTTAGCCACAAGATCACCCTATTTAGAATGCACTCCTTCAGCTCTTCTAGGCTTCTCTCTTTCTCTTGGAAGGTTCTGGCATTTCTCTCCTTCCACACTGCCCCAAATCAGCACTTATCTTGCACACCTCCACATAATTCTTCCTCTTGTATGACACTAAGGGAAAAAAGAAGGATAAAAAATCAAACTTACTTCAGCTGGCCTAGGCAACCTGCACTCAAACAACGAGAAGAGCCACTCCCATAACTCTGCAGTAAAGGAACAAGATATTAGTGAATAGTGACAGTCCTCACCATGAGACCTGTCTTATCCTATTGAAGAACAAGTAAAATAATCAATGCTCCTAGGATGTGAATTGTTGTAACGACTAGCAAAATGGCTGAAAGCCACTACTGCAATTGGCATTATATTTAATGTTATTGGCAGAATGACAATGCCTAAAATGAGTTAAGGATCTGAACATGAATGAAGGCAAATAAGGAATAAGGATTTGTGTCGGAGAAATGTAGCATAAAGATGCTGGCAAATCTGGAAAGGAAGTTGATAAGACATAAGAGTGCCAAATAAGTGGTACAAGGCAAGAATGGAATAGTAACAGATACCCCAACCCAGGGCTTGTACTAGATTAGCAGCTAGCATCCAATATCATTGGGATCGTATGCACAAGGAATGATCAAGAAGTAGCACCATTAGATGCTGAAACTTGGGCAATCCACTTGGCTCTCGATTGGGCACATGCCTTAGGAGTTTCCACAAGACCATATCCTTTTTTTTTACAATGTTGATATTCTTAGCTGGTTGATAAGCATGGCCACTGCAGATTACTTGGCCAGAGCCACCCACCCCCCATGATGTATTTTTGAGCATCTTTTCAAATGAAAAATGAAACATTACCAAAAACAGGAACTCATTCTAAGAAATGATTCTTTGGAGCTAAAAAGTTTTGCTTCAAGAAGAATCACTTTCACTCAAAACTTATTCTTTGTTGTCCAGAAGAGAAGGAAGAAAGAGAGAAGAGAGAAAAGAGATTGAGAGTCCAAAAGAGCTGTTGGCAGAGCCAACTTTTTTATTATTTATACTAGGACGACACAACATAAAATAAAAGGTGTGGAAAATACCAAAGTACCCCTGCGGTACTAAACTTACAAAATAGCAGCCTTTTAACACTCCCCCTCAAGTTGGGACATAGATGTCAATCATGCCCAACTTGTCACATAAATCATAATGTCTCAAGTGATGTAACCCTTTTGTGAAGATGTCTGCAAGTTGGTCTTCAAAACTGACATAGGGAGTACACACTTCCCCTGTGACAACCTTTTCTCTGATGAAATGTTTGTCGACTTCGATATGTTTAGTTCTATCATGCAGCATAGGATTAGCAACGATGTTTATGGCTGCTTTGTTATCACAATATAGAGTCATAAATCCATCAATTGTAAATCCCAACTCACTCAACATATTTTTTAGCCACATAATTTCAGCCACTCCATGAGACATTGCTCTATATTCAGCTTTAGCACTAGACCTAGTCACTACATTCTGCTTTTTGCTTCTCCAAGTAACTAGGTTCCCTCCCACAAAGGTACAGTAGCCATTGGTTGACTTCCTATCACTCAGGGATCCTGCTCAATCTGCATCGGTATACACTTCAACTTTCAAATGCCCATGCTTTTGAAACAATAAGCCTGCACCTGGAAACTTCTTAAGATATCTGAGAACTCTTTCAATTGCTTCAAGGTGGGTGGTCTTAGGGGCATGCATGAATTGGCATAAGAACACCCACTACATAAGCAATGTCTGGTTGGGTCATAGAAAGATACAACAATCTTCCCACAAGTCTCTGAAATTGTTTCACATCCTTGATTAATTCACCTTGATAGTCTCCTAATTTGTGATTAGGATCAATAGGAGAATCAGTAGGCTTCACTCCCAATTTGTCTGTATCTTGGAGTAGATCTAGGACATACTTTCTTTGGGAAATTAAGATACCCTTTTGTGAGCGGGCAACTTCAATCCCAAGGAAGTACTTTAAAGGACCTAGATCTTTCATTTTAAACTGGGTATTAAGAAATCTCTTTAACTCTTGAATTTCATCTTTCCAATCACCAGTGATAACTATATCATCAACATATATTATCAGGGCTGCAATTTTTCCTTCCCCTCTTTTCACAAATAATGTGTGATCAGATTGACACTACTTGTATCCTCTTTGTTGAACAGTTACATGGAACCTGCTGAACCAAGCTCTCGGTGATTGTTCTAGGCCATATAATGATTTTTTTTAACCTATACACTTTTTGTTCATTTCCTTGAGCTCAGAAACCAGGGGGTTGTACCATGTACACTTCTTCTTCAAGGTCACCATTTAGAAAGGCATTCTTAATATCTAGTTGATGAAGGTCTCAATCAAGATTAACAACTAAAGAGAAAAGGACTAATGGAGTTTATCTTAGCAATAGGTGCAAAAGTTTCTACATAATCTACTCCATACACTTGTATAAACCCTTTTTCCACAAAACGGGCTTTATACTGCTCCACTGTGCCATCAGCCCTATGTTTTACTGTGAAGACCCATTTACATTCAACTGGTTCCTTCCCTTCAAGAAGATCTACCAATTCCCATGTGCCATTTTTATGCAAAGCATTAATCTCCTTTCATAGCATCTGTTCATTCAGGCACCAACAAAACTTTTGCCACATTCTTAGGAATGAGAACACTGTCAATAGAAGAAAAGAAGGCCCGAAAGGAAGGTGAAATGTTCTTGTTAAAGTGAGCCGAATAGGGGTAGTTTAGTCATCTCATGTTTGTTAAGTACCTTGCTTATGTGGCAGTTTTATTAGAKATACTCTGCCCACACTTAAGTAAGGGCAGTTTAGTCTTTGTAAAGGTTATTAGAACTTAATAACCACTAGGGGGTCGAATGAACAGTGTACGAATCAGTTTTGACTAAACCCTCCTGTTCTCTCTCTTTTCTTCTTCTTCATCTTCTTCCTTCTCTCCTGGTTCGGGTTAYTGTAGCTGCATTCGAAACATGGTATCAGAGCGAGGTTCCTGACCTACTTCAGTTTGTAAAGCATCTCAGCTGTGTTCGTGACACCTTCTTCGTTTCTGGTTAGTTAATGGAGAGAACTGGTTCGCCCTAGGTCTGAGACATCATAGCTCGTTTCTCTCTGCTGCACACAATCTTCTTCATCAAGGAAAGTGATTTCAGCAGTGAATGGATGGTTGATACTTTAAAGGAAGGTTGGTTATCTAGTCCTTTTGTGTTGCTGGTATTTCTGGGTAGAAACCCTCCAAGAATCAGTTAGTACTGATTAGAACCTAGAGAACTAGGTTCATTGTTGCCCTAGAACGGGCTGTGTACAGTAGCCGAATGGTGTAGGGGCT